ATATTATCTCTAATCAAAAGATTCAAAAGGCCATCATTAACCTTGGATATCCAATTACCACAAGGCAAACGTAAAAATGTTAAAAGATCATCTTGTGAAAGCTAGTTAAGAACATCAAAGTGATATTCAAATCTCAGAAGCTCGAGAAAAACAAAAATTAAAATTGACAGCATTCATCCAGTGGGGAGAAGGGGGTCTCAAACCCAACTAAATAGCTTTTAACATTAAAGAGTTGTCAGGTAAATATTCCTACTCCCACTCCAGCACCTTACTAGCACTCAGTTCCTTTCTGATTCACATGGGATTCCATGTTTAAAATGATAGTGTAAGCTAATTGAAATTGGCATTCAATTGGAATATTAGAATATGAAATAAGAACAAAGCCACCACATATCACAAAGACACCTCCTCGGATGCAAACATCTTTTGATAATCGTGCAGATAAACGAAAAGCATATGTTCATGAATCAACCCAAGCAACTAAAAAAAAATGATCTCGAGATCTGTCCTCCAGTCATTGAAGCAAATCTATAGTTCAAAGTTGAATCCTGTAACTTAGCTAAAGGAGGGTAAGGTCATACAATATGCATGAAACTTTCCTTTGTAACCATAAAGTTGTCATCCGAATTTAAAAGGAATATGCATCTATGCAAAAATACAATTATAAATATCGTCTTTCCAAAACATGAGCTAATGAAGAGAAGTTTTAGTTTCATTGAATCAACAAAAGAAAACTGAGATCACTAGAACCCTTTAATATCCGAAGAGAATGGAAGGTAACAGGTCTGTTCAGGAAGGATTCAGATTCCAATCAAATATTTATGGTCACTTTAGCCCGAAACTTTTCTATTATTTTCCTTTTCTTTTTCTTCTTCCATTGTCAATTCACAAAACAAAATTTAAGCGCTGTTCCCAGCACGAATCCCCCACTGAGAAAACAGGCATATCTGATTCTGCATTATTCATCTCCATTTAAGCGCTAAAATGCTGACAATGTCCCACTCCCACAATATAAATCTTTTTAGTTTCAGTGGAACAAACTTAAGGATCAAAAACCTTTCATTTACTGAAAATAAGTCCAGAATATCCTTTTTGCCTAAAGCTCATCTTTTTTCTTGTATACAAGCGTGTCGTAGAAACATCTGCAACCCAACATAACAAGTTCTTGTTCTAGCCATAAAAGGACATGATCAAAAATTTGAAATAAGGAAAGAAGTTCAAACCTGAAGCAACAAAAATGGCCGAAACTTGAGACACCCCCGCTAATAATTCTCGTTGAGACCTTCGAACCACCACAATAAAACCCGCGTCAAAAACAAAAAATCAAATAAAAGCCCTCTCCATTCTAGTATGCACACCTTAAGACCCTAAAATTGAACCCAAATGATATAATCCATGAGTAAAACTTCGACTCTGCCAAACCCTAGAGGGAAAAAACAGGGCTCCGCCTTTGTAGAGAGAGAAAGATCGGAGAAATTTATTTTTACTGTTCAATCCATCAAGAAGAAATGAGACGAAAGGAAATCAATTTACTTATATATATAGACAGGAATATATTATTGTTTATAAATAAATAATAAATTGAAATGGATTTTGAAGTGGACGATTACAACATTAAGCCAACCGTTATTTCAAAACTATTTTCTCCTCGTATTCATAATCACATAACACATAATAAAATATTTTATACCTAAATTCAATTTTTTTTATTTTTTAATTATGCATCCTTCAAAAAATCACTATGTAAAACTTCGTTTTACCCAAACAATGATAGTCGAACGGGGCTAAGCGGGTCATGGGCAGGGGCAGTTTGGTAATTGTAGAGTAGTAGTAGATATTTGCTCCCAGGAAAATTTATGCCATTCACTTTACATTTTAAGTGCTTCGTTAATAAGATTTTATCAACTTTTCGCCTTGTCAAATTTTAATTTTAATAATTTATTTTATAAGATCCTCAATTTTTATTAATTTTTTTAATACATATTTCATCAATTTTTTATCAAATTTTGTTAAAATTTTTATCATCAACTGTCACATGTACTCTAAAATTCTAATTATAGGAAGTACTAGTTTTAAATTCTACACATAAAACTTTTTAAAATACACACATATATATAACAAACACACACCGCCATTGATCAGAATTGAAAAATAGTTGTCAACCACTCCAAACCACCACCGATAAAATACCGATCACTGCACTGATCACCACTGTCTAGAAAACCACTAGCATCGCCTAATCCTTCCATCGTCCCATTACCACCATCGACAAGTTACACGCTTTTACGTCAACTAAAAAATTCTTATTCAACAAATATCTATCGAGCCCTCAAACCTTTATAAAGCCAAATTGTTGAAGAAGCATGAACATGCAACGTTAATGTGCCTTAACCTTAAGTTGCACTTCTACTAACTAATAAAATCATACAACTCATTTTATGTATCTCCACACATTACCCTTTTTAATCTCTATATAGCGCAAAAGCCTTGCCAATTGCTATCATCAGCTTTCTCTCAACATCCGCCACCGAAGCAATAACGATCCTGAAGAAGTGTCATGAAAATTTTGAGACCTTAAACAACAAAAATTTTATGAAATCCCCTACACATAATTTGTTTTACAAGCATATTATCATCAATCATGACCGAATTAAACATATTTTCTCTTGATACATTATACCGATGATACTCACCCATTGCTTGATTCGTTCAAGAATCAATTATCGCGTTCGAGAAATAAAATACAAATGTCTTGTAGAAACAAGTGAGGCGTGGGGGTGGTGAATACCATTTATTGCCCAAAATATTCTATATTTAAAAAGTAAGAAAAAAAAATCATAAAATAGAATTAACAAACATTATTGGTTGGGTAGGCGACAACCTTCTACTTTATTTGCACTACTACATCTTCAAGAAAATATTTAATGCAAGAAAATTCCATAAATAATGATCGTTTCTGAACTTTTAATTTATTTTTTTCAGGCCCCTTCATGTCTTGAGGTAGTGGCCTTGAGCTAGGATCGAGTCCGTCCATTCTCTACTTAAAACTCGAAATATAGGAAGATCTAAATGATAGAAAAGTGATAATAAGTCTCTATTTGACGGTCATTATTTGAAAAAAATAATGTTTTAAATAGTGATTGTTAGGAGAGTATATAGTTAAAATGTAAGAAAAAATTTGAATTTACGAACATAATATTTCATTATGTGAATGTGTAATTGAAAATGACTACGTAGAAAAAATAGTTCAAACATGAGCTAAATAAATAGTACTTGTGAATTCCATGCAATATGTTAATTGACTGATTATGAACAAAATATTGATCATTATGAATACATATTTGAAAATATACTGACGACGAATGTTTTGATCCAAAATCGCCTAATTGTGGTGAATAGGTATATAATGTGGAATTAAAATAATCCCTACTATAATAAAAGAGTCAATCCGCCAGGTACTATTCATTTTTGA